AAATTTCACGTATTTGGAGAAATTTATCGGCATTTCTCGAGTCACAGGGTTATTATTTTCCAAATTGGTTGCCACGGACTTTAGTTCAGGTAAATGCGTAATAATCGACCAGTTGCAGGCGCTCGTTTTGACCAATTGTACATGTTTTTTCCATAGGCATAGCGAGGTCGCCCATAGGAAGTTGTTCAGGTTGATCGATAGCAGCGTCGTCCTCGGCGTAGTCTATAGTGTATTGTTCATCCGTCAACAACGAAAAAATCCATTGTGAAGGAAGTTCAAATCGTACACGCAACTGACATCCTCGGATCAAATTTGACCGCAAAGTCAACAAACCAACAATTGTGATGTTTAAATTAAACTGTGGTTTGAGGTATACGTGCTCATACCGTATGAGAAGTCACGGGACCCCCACCACATAACTGAGAAAGCTCGAATCATCCGACGATATCATTAAAGGATTAATTTCTATATTCTTGAACGAATCTATAAAATCAAAGTGGCTGGGTTTCAATTTACATAGCTCTTTGTATGGTCTTGTTTGCTGATCAACATTATATGATTTCTAGACATGTTCAATCTGTGCAGCTTCTTCACTTTCATATTAATGTCAATAAGAGCATTTCATCCATTTTTGAATAAATGTGGTTCATCACAAATTGTAGAAATACTCTGAGCATTGACTATAAAATGGAATGGACTTGATCCGTGAGTATTCTCCGAGCAAATCGTCTCAAGTGCGTTTTTGATCGTTGCGCCCTGATTAGAAATAGTGCCAACAACGCACAAACCAAGTCGCTGCTAGTTTGTGATCACATGAACAATAATCGTTTTCAGATCTGGGATTCTTGTATCTTTTACTAGATAATAAGCCACAACCTGCTTATAATTTTTACGAATCCCTCTTATCATGGAAGTAAGGGCATGATTTCTGATAAATCACTTTTTCAGAGTTCTAGTTGATTTTGTTACCTCAGAATTCAAGATTTATTAGCTGAAAATTGTACACTGTGAGCACTGGGATCAGCCCTAAACTTTGTCCAAACCCTGCAATAATCGTAAACACTAAACAAGGGTAGACATATTTCTAGTTTAACTGCCTGAAGATTTTCTCTATGGTTTATACGTAACTCTCCACCTATTATCTCATTTTTGTACATGTTCTGGGAGAACTCAACTTGCTCCCTATAAAATGCAACGTCTTCCTGCACAGGTGGTTCTGGTTAAGTGCCAGCCTGCTTCGGGTTTGTAATTAGTTGTTGCAATTTTCTGATTTCGTCGTCCTTTTTCATAATCCAGATTTCGTTTTGGCATTCCAGTTCAGCCATTTGATCCTGAAGCTCTTTTATAGTAGAATCATTATGGCATCGTATATCTGAGATTTTAAATGAGTGGTTGACCTCACGTTGGTTACTCTCGTCCATCAGACTCTTTACGTCATTTCTCAGTTTAGATTCAAGTTCTTTTAGGAAGCCAATTTCATCTTGCAGTTCAGCAATGTGTGACATCGTTACATCAGTTTGTGCAGCAGCACTTAAAGAATGTTGCATATCTTCGTACTCAGCGTCAAGCATAGCTTCTAAGTCTGCAACCTTCTTTTTTGACTCAATATTTTGAGCTTCAAGAGATGGTTTAGGGCTCTCTGATCTTCCTAGGTTCTTCAGTTGAGTACGCAGCATCTCTATTTCTGACTCGTATGTTTTTAGTCTTTTTATTATTTTTTTCCAGAAAATCGAGTCTGTATTGCAAGTCGATGAAATTCTTGCGCTTTTTGAGAATTTTTTTGAACTCTTTCTATTTCTTCGTTGTACGCATCCGTTACTTGGCGGAGTTCCTGACTGTAACGATCGAATTTAGAATTGGCTTCTGTGAGCTGTTTCTTCAGGTCCAAAATCTCCAGCTGATTATCTAGTTTAGTGAATTCTCTAAGCTCATTGAAAGATTCTTCCAGTTCTTTGAGTTGTCTTTTAAGTACACTTGCACGTCTTCAGCTATCACAGATTCTGCTTCGGCTAGTGCCTCCTCATATGTCTCTTCTTGAATAGGCCTCATTTCACGTCCGGATGATTCTTCTTTGGGTGGATAATTTTTCAATGGCATATACCCTAGGGATGCTTTTTTAGGTGATACGTTGCCATAGTGTCCAAAAGTATGACGTCTTAATGTTTTTTTCGGTGTTGATGCCGAGGCTCCCATTTGAAAGCGCCCGACAATAGATACTTCCGTTTTTAGTCTTTCTATCTCGAGCAGATACTCTTGTTTGCTTTTATCCATCTCTTTTAGCTTAATTGCCTGCTTTTTGAGCCGAGTTTCGAGATCGCGAGTCAAGTTCTGATATCCTTGAAGTGTCTCTTCTGTAGCTGACAAGATGTTTACTTTCGTTTTATTTTTGACAGTTTTAGTGCTTTGGGCGAATTCTGGTGTAGATCTAGTCTCCTCCTCTGCAGCTAAAGTAACATTCCCGATAATCAATGATTTGGCATTACCGCCAAGAGCCTGTGAGAGCAGTCTAGTCAATTTCGAATCGCGATAACTGATAAACTCCTTCCCCTCGCTTAGTTGCCTTATCACATTTCCTAATACTGACAAAGATTTGTTTATGTTAGCCCCCTCTTTAAGACGCTCACCAGCAGCTTTCGTCAGAGAAACTCTCTCAGAACCAGCTAAGTCCATTAAGTTAAGGTAGCTTATATGTACAGGTCCATCTTTCTGATTGGCATCTTTCGACTCCAGAATAATCCGGAAAATCGTGTGTGATCGAGATGACCTCTCATTCATGCGAGTAGCTGCAACTCGTCTGATCTTATTGCCCTGCATCATGTTCTCCATAACTTTATCAACATTGTCTACGACAGCTTCCCTTGCATCAAGCAGCACATTTCCTTTGATATCTTCTCTTATAGTTAAACCCTGATTGCTCTTATCCAGGAGGTCATTGATCTTTTCATTGTAGATTTCAATATAACTGCATCTAATCAAGTACCTCTTATCAACCTGGTCTGCCACATGCTGGAATAACTGATTGGATACTAATTGGAAAAGCCCAGGATCTGTTTTATTGCCCAAAATGGTGTGTGTTTTGCCAGAAGATGTTTGGCCATATGCAAATATTGTGGCATTGAAACCTTCCATGAAGGAATCGACTAAAGGTTTTACTACAGATCCATATACATCTGAATTTGTACATTCCTGCTTAAATACATGGTCGAATATATAAACCTCTCCATGGCGACTACTTTCATCGGCTTCCCATATGCAGTTTACTCTTACGTTCCAAAGACGCTCTAGACCATCGGCTACTTCGCGGTGGATCATTGGTCTGATCTTTGTGGCTACTTTAATATTGTCGGAAGTCATTTTGGAAGCTTGAACTGAAATTTAATTAGAACTAGGGCTATTTCACGGGTTATAAAGAGGGGCACTTTTCATAATCCAGATTTCGTTTTGGCATTCCAGTTCAGCCATTTGATCCTGAAGCTCTTTTATAGTAGAATCATTATGGCATCGTATATCTGAGATTTTAAATGAGTGGTTGACCTCACGTTGGTTACTCTCGTCCATCAGACTCTTTACGTCATTTCTCAGTTTAGATTCAAGTTCTTTTAGGAAGCCAATTTCATCTTGCAGTTCAGCAATGTGTGACATCGTTACATCAGTTTGTGTAGCAGCACTTAAAGAATCTTGCATATCTTCGTACTCAGCGTCAAGCATAGCTTCTAAGTCTGCAACCTTCTTTTTTGACTCAATATTTTGAGCTTCAAGAGATGGTTTAGGGCTCTCTGATCTTCCTAGGTTCTTCAGTTGAGTACGCAGCATCTCTATTTCTGACTCGTATGTTTTTAGTCTTTTTATTATTTTTTTCCAGAAAATCGAGTCTGTATTGCAAGTCGATGAAATTCTTGCGCTTTTTGAGAATTTTTTTGAACTCTTTCTATTTCTTCGTTGTACGCATCCGTTACTTGGCGGAGTTCCTGACTGTAACGATCGATTTTAGAATTGGCTTCTGTGAGCTGTTTCTTCAGGTCCAAAATCTCCAGCTGATTATCTAGTTTAGTGAATTCTCTAAGCTCATTGAAAGATTCTTCCAGTTCTTTGCGTTGTCTTTTAAGTACACTTGCACGTCTTCAGCTATCACAGATTCTGCTTCGGCTAGTGCCTCCTCATATGTCTCTTCTTGAATAGGCCTCATTTCACGTCCGGATGATTCTTCTTTGGGTGGATAATTTTTCAATGGCATATACCCTAGGGATGCTTTTTTAGGTGATACGTTGCCATAGTGTCCAAAAGTATGACGTCTTAATGTTTTTTTCGGTGTTGATGCCGAGGCTCCCATTTGAAAGCGCCCGACAATAGATACTTCCGTTTTTAGTCTTTCTATCTCGAGCAGATACTCTTGTTTGCTTTTATCCATCTCTTTTAGCTTAATTGCCTGCTTTTTGAGCCGAGTTTCGAGATCGCGAGTCAAGTTCTGATATCCTTGAAGTGTCTCTTCTGTAGCTGACAAGATGTTTACTTTCGTTTTATTTTTGACAGTTTTAGTGCTTTGGGCGAATTCTGGTGTAGATCTAGTCTCCTCCTCTGCAGCTAAAGTAACATTCCCGATAATCAATGATTTGGCATTACCGCCAAGAGCCTGTGAGAGCAGTCTAGTCAATTTCGAATCGCGATAACTGATAAACTCCTTCCCCTCGCTTAGTTGCCTTATCACATTTCCTAATACTGACAAAGATTTGTTTATGTTAGCCCCCTCTTTAAGACGCTCACCAGCAGCTTTCGTCAGAGAAACTCTCTCAGAACCAGCTAAGTCCATTAAGTTAAGGTAGCTTATATGTACAGGTCCATCTTTCTGATTGGCATCTTTCGACTCCAGAATAATCCGGAAAATCGTGTGTGATCGAGATGACCTCTCATTCATGCGAGTAGCTGCAACTCGTCTGATCTTATTGCCCTGCATCATGTTCTCCATAACTTTATCAACATTGTCTACGACAGCTTCCCTTGCATCAAGCAGCACATTTCCTTTGATATCTTCTCATAGTTAAACCCTGATTGCTCTTATCCAGGAGGTCATTGATCTTTTCATTGTAGATTTCAATATAACTGCATCTAATCAAGTACCTCTTATCAACCTGGTCTGCCACATGCTGGAATAACTGATTGGATACTAATTGGAAAAGCCCAGGATCTGTTTTATTGCCCAAAATGGTGTGTGTGTTTTGCCAGAAGATGTTTGGCCATATGCAAATATTGTGGCATTGAAACCTTCCATGAAGGAATCGACTAAAGGTTTTACTACAGATCCATATACATCTGAATTTGTACATTCCTGCTTAAATACATGGTCGAATATATAAACCTCTCCATGGCGACTACTTTCATCGGCTTCCCATATGCAGTTTACTCTTACGTTCCAAAGACGCTCTAGACCATCGGCTACTTCGCGGTGGATCATTGGTCTGATCTTTGTGGCTACTTTAATATTGTGGAAGTCATTTTGGAAGCTTGAACTGAAATTTAATTAGAACTAGGGCTATTTCACGGGTTATAAAGAGGGGCACTTTTCATAATCCAGATTTCGTTTTGGCATTCCAGTTCAGCCATTTGATCCTGAAGCTCTTTTATAGTAGAATCATTATGGCATCGTATATCTGAGATTTTAAATGAGTGGTTGACCTCACGTTGGTTACTCTCGTCCATCAGACTCTTTACGTCATTTCTCAGTTTAGATTCAAGTTCTTTTAGGAAGCCAATTTCATCTTGCAGTTCAGCAATGTGTGACATCGTTACATCAGTTTGTGTAGCAGCACTTAAAGAATCTTGCATATCTTCGTACTCAGCGTCAAGCATAGCTTCTAAGTCTGCAACCTTCTTTTTTGACTCAATATTTTGAGCTTCAAGAGATGGTTTAGGGCTCTCTGATCTTCCTAGGTTCTTCAGTTGAGTACGCAGCATCTCTATTTCTGACTCGTATGTTTTTAGTCTTTTTATTATTTTTTTCCAGAAAATCGAGTCTGTATTGCAAGTCGATGAAATTCTTGCGCTTTTTGAGAATTTTTTTGAACTCTTTCTATTTCTTCGTTGTACGCATCCGTTACTTGGCGGAGTTCCTGACTGTAACGATCGATTTTAGAATTGGCTTCTGTGAGCTGTTTCTTCAGGTCCAAAATCTCCAGCTGATTATCTAGTTTAGTGAATTCTCTAAGCTCATTGAAAGATTCTTCCAGTTCTTTGCGTTGTCTTTTAAGTACACTTGCACGTCTTCAGCTATCACAGATTCTGCTTCGGCTAGTGCCTCCTCATATGTCTCTTCTTGAATAGGCCTCATTTCACGTCCGGATGATTCTTCTTTGGGTGGATAATTTTTCAATGGCATATACCCTAGGGATGCTTTTTTAGGTGATACGTTGCCATAGTGTCCAAAAGTATGACGTCTTAATGTTTTTTTCGGTGTTGATGCCGAGGCTCCCATTTGAAAGCGCCCGACAATAGATACTTCCGTTTTTAGTCTTTCTATCTCGAGCAGATACTCTTGTTTGCTTTTATCCATCTCTTTTAGCTTAATTGCCTGCTTTTTGAGCCGAGTTTCGAGATCGCGAGTCAAGTTCTGATATCCTTGAAGTGTCTCTTCTGTAGCTGACAAGATGTTTACTTTCGTTTTATTTTTGACAGTTTTAGTGCTTTGGGCGAATTCTGGTGTAGATCTAGTCTCCTCCTCTGCAGCTAAAGTAACATTCCCGATAATCAATGATTTGGCATTACCGCCAAGAGCCTGTGAGAGCAGTCTAGTCAATTTCGAATCGCGATAACTGATAAACTCCTTCCCCTCGCTTAGTTGCCTTATCACATTTCCTAATACTGACAAAGATTTGTTTATGTTAGCCCCCTCTTTAAGACGCTCACCAGCAGCTTTCGTCAGAGAAACTCTCTCAGAACCAGCTAAGTCCTTAAGTTAAGGTAGCTTATATGTACAGGTCCATCTTTCTGATTGGCATCTTTCGACTCCAGAATAATCCGGAAAATCGTGTGTGATCGAGATGACCTCTCATTCATGCGAGTAGCTGCAACTCGTCTGATCTTATTGCCCTGCATCATGTTCTCCATAACTTTATCAACATTGTCTACGACAGCTTCCCTTGCATCAAGCAGCACATTTCCTTTGATATCTTCTCATAGTTAAACCCTGATTGCTCTTATCCAGGAGGTCATTGATCTTTTCATTGTAGATTTCAATATAACTGCATCTAATCAAGTACCTCTTATCAACCTGGTCTGCCACATGCTGGAATAACTGATTGGATACTAATTGGAAAAGCCCAGGATCTGTTTTATTGCCCAAAATGGTGTGTGTTTTGCCAGAAGATGTTTGGCCATATGCAAATATTGTGGCATTGAAACCTTCCATGAAGGAATCGACTAAAGGTTTTACTACAGATCCATATACATCTGAATTTGTACATTCCTGATTAAATACATGGTCGAATATATAAACCTCTCCATGGCGACTACTTTCATCGGCTTCCCATATGCAGTTTACTCTTACGTTCCAAAGACGCTCTAGACCATCGGCTACTTCGCGGTGGATCATTGGTCTGATCTTTGTGGCTACTTTAATATTGTTGGAAGTCATTTTGGAAGCTTGAACTGAAATTTAATTAGAACTAGGGCTATTTCACGGGTTATAAAGAGGGGCAGATGTATCAGGTTGATACATTCTTTTTTTCCTCCTTTCCAGTATAGAAGATTTTTTTCTCTTGTAGGCTATGAATGCGGTCCGATAGTTTAGTAGAGCTACATTTACAGGGTGACTCAAAATCAAAGAAGAAACAGAATTGTTAAATTTCATATAGACTGTTATTGTTATTACAAAAAGAAGTTGAAGCAGCAGCAAATTCTCACAAATCTATAGATCCATCACTTTCAGCACCCGATTTTTCAACTTGAAAAATGCAGCTCGGTGAAGAATCACAAGGTAACTGTTGTCTATTCAGACAATACTCTTCTAAAAGCAACGCGAAGTTACCTAGTGCCTTACATGAATCGCCTTCATAATTCTTCATTATTGTCAATGGAAAACTGAAATTGTTGATTATTACAGTTTTAATGCTTCAAATAAACAGATGGTGTTCGTGTTGGAAATCCCACGTCTAATCTCGCAAAACAGGTTATCCACCGGATCTTACTATCAACATCTGAAATGCCATTACTGTTTTTAGCCATGTGTACAACAGGTTTGTACGCATAAGACACTCTTACATGAAAACTGTTTATTGTCTAAAAACGAAAATACCCCATTGAAGATGAGTAATGCAATAAATATAATCCTCGAAACTTGAACTGTAATATGAACATAAAAAAACTAACAAAATGGGCCATTTAACAACATTTGGTGTTGATATTCTACAACAAAAACAAATACTTTCTCGTATAAGGAAACATACAATAATTAACATTTATCACTTTTCACGAAACAATGTAAGTGCGCTGTGACTTTACATACTTATTACAGATTGTAGAACATTTTTTTCATTGTGTATTGTCATGTAACACCTACGTCGTTTTTTTTCTTTAACAACTGCATCAGGATCGAGAACTCTGGGCTGAGAAGTAGACGGCTTACTTTATTCGTCGTTGGTAATTTAGGATTCTTTGCATGGCTGAACGAAGCTCCCTAGGAAGTCTTGGATCTGATAAACGTCCTCTCATACGAAGTTAAATTAGAGTTTGCCTCAGGGGAACAATAAAATTTCGTCGCCTAATGGAACTTTCAGTCCCAGACTGAAAAAAAAGGAATTTACAGAAGCTGGTTGGATACCAAATAGCACAAGGCCATCTTCTCGTTCTCTAACCAGTATTGTAATTTACACACTTCCGATCTAATGCATTACCCCCCGCCTTCATAGTGTTATAAAATAATATGGATCTTATCAGGTTTCTTTGATTCCTCTACTATTTTGTTATCAT